CTACTACTACTACTACTAGTACCACCACTACCACTACTGCTGCTACTACTACTACTACTACTACTACTACTACTACTACTACTAGTACTACTACCACCACGGTTATGATGTGCAGCCACAAACATGTCTCAGCCTTGGATGCCAAAATCTGCGAGGAGTTCTTCTTCGAGCATCACGTACACGGTCTCATGGAGAGGATCTGGAAGGAGAGCCCCGAAATTGGGTTCAGGGTTTAGGGTTCTGGCATTGCGGGTTCAGGGTGCAGGGTTTGGGGTCTAGGGCTTAGAATCGGGTTTAGGGTTTAAGGTTTTGTGTTTGATTTTCTTAGGACATTGCCGGTTTTTACGGCTCTTGGGTTTTAGGGGCTTTAGGGTTTGAGGCTTTAGTTTAGGGTTTAGGATTTAGGAATAGGATGTAACAGTTCGAATCTTTTGAGGACGTGAACAGCTGGAGATTGGCCAATGGCGTGGGTTTTCGGGAGCTCAAGCGTTCTGAGAGTTGGGGTAACGGTTATTTGTGCCGAGATTTCGTAGGTTCTAACTTGCAGGCGCGGATCGTGATGCTCCATTCCGGTTGCTGGCTTTTACTTCAGTTGTGAAGGATTTAGTACTTTAGGGTTCTGGGCTTAGTAAAACTCAGAGTTTAGAGCGTCCCTACATGCTTCTCCTGGGTTTTCCATCATCTTCTAACGCGTTTCGGTTTCGTGGGATGCAAGGCTTCCCGGTTTGCAGGTTCATCCTGAGGTCTGATGCACAAAAAGACACAAGCTTTTAGGGTTTAGGGTTTAGGGTTTAGGGTTTAGGGTTTAGGGCTTAAGCCTCCGCGAGGACGTGAATGGCACCATATCTGACAGCTACAACCTCTTCGAAGACTTGCGTCGCCAGGGTGTTCGCGCCCACTCCTGGGTTTAGGGCCTTGAAACGAAGGGGCGTGTGAACCCTAAGTTTAAAACGCTGCACCCTATACACCCTAGATCCTAAACCGATCCGATTCATCAGCAATACTATAGGGTTCCTAAACCGTAAACCCTAAATCCTAATCCATAAGCATTGAATTTAAAACCGGGATCATTATCATTGGTGTACGACAGAGTCCTCATGTGGGTAGTTCTCTAAATCAGGGTCCCTTCTAGGGTCCCCTTTATAAGGGTGCCGTACTATTTCGGGGATCTACAAAGGGACCCTAATTTAGAGAACTACCTTTCTTGTACTGTTATAGAAACCTTATACTGTAGAACCTTATAGATCCCTTTAAGGAATCCCAAAACAGGGACTCCTCGCTGTATCTCCCTGCTACAGCTCCAAAAGGTTTCAAGGGGTTTAGGGTTTAGGGATACATGGGTTTAGGGTTCAGGGCGTTTGGGGTCTAGGAATACAGGGATGGATTTAGGGTTTAGGGGTAAATGGGTTCAGGGTTTAGGGTTTAGGAATACAGGCTTTGGGGTTCAGGGATACGGGGTTCGGAATAAGCACGAACATCATTCCTCACGGCTCCTTAGTAGTCTTACGATCCGGCAACTTAGCCGGAAACCCTGTGCGAATCCGTAAGGCCCCTACATGATTACTGATCGCCTGTGGGTTCAGGAATCCACCCTGAACCCTAAACCCCGAAACCCTAAATTCCAAACCCTAAGTTTTAAGTCCCTATAGACCCTAAATCCCTAGACCCTAAACCCCTAGATCCCTAGATCCTTTAAATCCCTCGACCCTAAACCCGAAACCCTAAACAAACCTAGACCCTAAACCCTGAACCGGAAGAGCCCTAGACCCTAAACCCTAGACCCTTCAACAACTCCAAGCCTAAATCGGGAGCCCCTTGAGCCCTGAACCCTGGAGAAGAACTTCAGGCTTCCATGCACCAGTCGCAAAACAGGAGTGGCGTTGAATTGCTCTCTTTCTCTCTCTCTCTCTCTCAGTTTATTGCTCTCTCTGTTTAGGCTTTAGGGATTTAGGGTTTAGGGTTCAGGGATCTAGGGATGCAGGGCTTAGGGTTTCTGCGTCTCTTTCTCTCTCTCTCTCTCTGTTTCTCTCGCTCTCTTTCTGTCTCTAGTGTTTAGGGTGTAGGGTCTCTAGTGTTTAGGGTGTAGGCTCTGTCTCTGTCTCTGTCTCTCTCTCTCTCTCTCTCTGTTCAGGTCTTGATGTGAGAAAGTATAAATGCACATTCCCGAAATGAATCCGGGAACTGAGCAAGTGAACGCCAGAATGTGAGTCATGTGAGACAGATGAAGGCGCGAAGGTGTCAGACAAGGCAATCCACACGAAATGCTTTAATTCTCACATCGTTTTTGCACGAAGTTCTAACTCATAAGCATAAACGCCATGGGCAATCCGGGCGCTCTGTGAAAGGTCTCTGCAGTGTAGGGCCTTTCCTGCCAAATATCAGGGTCGCAGCTTACATCTCTGTCTTAAGATTTAGGGTCGCCGTTTCAGGACAGGCACTGTAGAACACTGGTAAGTATAAACCAGGATTCCAAATGAGGGTTCTAATGCTCAAGCCCTTGGAGAAAGCAGGGATTATGCATCATGAGTCTACAACAGGTTTTATCGTGGGGAATCTTGGTGTGCCCTTGGCCCCCAGACCCTATACCGCCTAAACCCCTCTAAACCTAAACCCCAAACCTCTAAAAACCAACGCTAGACCCCTAAACCCTAAACCCATAAAGCCCCAACACGTAAACCCATAAACCCATGAGCCAGCTTGATGGCCCCTTAGCTAAACCCTAAACCCTAAACCCTAAACCCTAAACCGTGAACACTCGACACTGCACCGCAGAATCTGAGGTTGAGTCACCTGAAGCCAGCAACCCCAAAGCTTGTACCCGAAACTCCCACGATAAATTCCCCGCATTCCGGTTTAGGGTTTAGGGTTTAGTTAGGGGTTTAGGGTTTAGGGTTTAGGGTGCCCTAAACCCTGAAACCTGCGCTATGTCGCCAAAGAGCCGATGTACCATTGCCTCGACCTACTTCCGTCTGCGGGATGAAGGCGCGGGTCGTGTTACTGCTCAGTGCTGTGGCGTTTCTCCTGGGGCGAGAGACATGCATGCCAGAAGTCAAAAAGGAGAGGGCTGTTCGGAGTAACCCTAATGCGGAAACCCCGAAGCCTTGAACCATAACGACCCCAAAACGCCAAAGCGATGATACTCTAAACCCCAAGCCTGTACCCTCGAAGCCGTAAACCGTAAACCCTAAACCCTAATTTAACTCTAAACCCCTACCCCCCGAAACCCAAACCCTAAACCCTAAACCCTAAACCCTAAACCCTAAACCCTAAACCCTAAACCCTAAACCCTGAACCCATGTCAGGAGAGCCCCCGAAAGATGGCCCCGGGAGTGCAATTGGACTCAACGCCGCTCCGGAACGTGGAGTTGCCCCCTGTTGCTTAGGAGCCCAATAGGTAAACTTTAAACTTTTTTGGTATATTAAACCCCTACAACAAAAAAAGTTTAAACTTTTTTGGGCCATGGTACTGGGCAGCTAAGGTTGCGCGATCTGAACCGGTCCTTCAGCCACTGGGCAAGGTTCAGATAAGGTTGAGGTCTAGGGTTCAGGGCGTTTAGGCTTTAGGGCTTAGGTTTGAAGGCTTTGGGGTTAAAGGGTGGCATCATAAGGATCTCTAATCATGAAGGCAGCTTACAAATCCTTGGCAAGATCAGAGGCCCGGCTTCCAGCACTTGGACTTGGTCATTGCGCATTGCCACAAGTCCCTGCGATGGATCGAAAGCTTCCTAGCTTCGAGGCAACTCTCCAACGTGACCATCTTCAGTAAATGCAATCGCTCCGTTGATGGTGCCCCTGCTAACGCTCGGATCGTTCCTAGTCCCAGGTGGTTAGGCCTTTGGGGGACATTTTTTCATAGTTTCCTGGATTGGGCCGAAGAAGATCACATTCACAGCTATTCTGTAGAGGCTTTAAAGGGCCAGCCTAGGTTCCTCTGCAGAACGTCGGCCGCTGCGACCACACTTACGCACACTGGCTGGCAGAGCAGGGGCACCGAGTACCGGCCGACCGACAACCCAATGACCTCATCCTCTTCTTGAAGGACAACAACAACAAGTACCGCACTTGGGCTTCATTGTCGCAATAACAATAATTCAACAGCTATAACGACAATGATAAAAGTAACAATACCAAAAATACTAAGAATACTGATAATACTAATAATGCTGAGAACACTTTAAGTTGGGAAAGTTGACTGGCAGTGGGTTTGCTTCTGGCGACATGTGTTTGTGTGTGTCTGCCTCATTGCGAGACCCGATCTATGTGGTAAGAGCTTCCTCGCACCACATAGCCGAACAGAGTGGATTGGATGAAGTTACCCTAAATCCTAAACCCCAAACCCCTAAAGCTTAAAACCAAACCCTAAACCCTAAACCCCTAAGCCCTAAACCCTTAGAGTAGACTCTCGGCGCAGTTTGGGTTTATAGTCAGTCATATCGGAGATGCAACTTGTAAGCCGGCTGAGGATCCAACGTGGATGTCGCCATCCCTCTCGATGACATGCTCCTGGAATGCAGATGGCATCTTTCAAGCCCTACTATTCCTACTACCTAGATCCAAGACTTGTAAGGCATAAAGCTGTGATTCGTCGAAAGAACCTTCACAAAATTAGCCCTAAGCCGCCCTGATCCTGAACCCCACACCGCCCATACAGACATGATGCATGTTCTTCTTTTGCTACCTTGTTTCTGCTAGACTACTTCCCAAGCAGCAAACTAAAAACCTTGATCCTAAACCCTGAGCACCGCAAAACCCTGACGAGGGTGTCGCTTGGAGAAGCTGGCCGCTTTCCCCTCGCCAAAAACAGGCCTGAATCCTAATGTAGGGGCCCTCATAATTAGAACAGGGTTTTGCGGTACATTATACTCAGATTACAATAAGGAACCCCCCCAAAATACTATTGGTAATTATTTGGGCCTCTATACTACAACCCTAGATGGTCCCACCCCCCAAGCCCGTCTGCTAAAACCCCGAGCCAACAATCCCTAAATCCTCAAACCCTAAACCCTAAGTCCCCCGAATGTAGGGTCCGTGCAAACTACCTTTACTATTTTGGGGGGCTCCTTATTATACTTATAGTATAAGGGACCCTAAAACCCTATTAAAATTATCAAGGTCCCTACATTGGAACGCAGAGCCCCCTAAACCTTGCACGCCTCCATCCTGTCTGGAGGGCTTTGGAACCGAGGATCCAAACAGCAACTGCCGGACCTCGCTTCGCGTGCGGACGTCGGGTCGAGCAGCGCCTCCGTGTAGGTTTTCGAGTTTAGTCTAGGGTTTAGGGTTTA